TTTGAACGAAATCGTTGCATTAGAAGTGGGTCAAAATTGAATTACAAAATTTGCTAAAAACCCACAAACAAACAGCAGACGTTGCATGCTAAATAAAAGCTTGTAAAAACAAACAGACGTTGCGAACTAAAAAAAAGCTCGTCAAGAACGTCAAGGTTAAAAGGGTGGAAATCTACAGTCCTCACAGAAGCGTTATCCGTGAGATATTTTATTCGCACAGTGTGAAAAAATGAATAACACACTTAGAGTGCGTGAGAAATAAAATGTTACATTAGGATACGCTAAAATCTGACCAGGAAAATTACTGTACGCATTTTTTGAAAAAAATGGTACTAATTTTAATACGAATCCAGAAACTGCCATTGTGAATTCTGCTAAGCTTAATAAAACTACATAGTCATGTGTATATGAACAGTTTTTTTTCAATTTTTCTTTATTCCTCCAAAAATCAAATAAACTTTTATTGTAACACTACAAAATAGATTAATTCATACTTGTGTTTATATTATGTGTAAAATATATCTAGCATTGCTAATTTGTACTCACTAATGAATAATATTGTTCAGCTATTTGTGCTATGTCGTTGGCGATGAAGATGAAAGCAATGAGATGAATGTGCTATACAGCAAAGACCAGTTTTACAGTACTTTTACATACGATAAGTTCTCAAGAAAAGTTGATGTGTAGGCTAAAATAATTAGTCTTATAGCATTCGTGGTTCACTTATAATGTAATGATTTTAGTCGATTTTGACATTGTTTTATTGATTGTCATAGATTTTTTTTTCAACTCCGTAAAACATACCATAGTTAGTTATGCTGTGCTTGTAAAAGACTGTATTATTGTGAATTGTATTTGGAGTGAAAGGTGTGTGATAGTTCAGAGGTCTCCAAACTTTTCAGCCCGAGGGCCGCATTAACTATCAAATATCAGTTCGGGGGCCAGTTCCTTCCAGGCATCTCTTTGTGGGTGGCGGAGCCCCCCCCCCTCCCCACCGAAGAACATATACCCCCTCCGCCCCCCCCAATTCCCACCGAAGAACATAGATCTATATAAATATAAATTATATAGAAATATATCTAAATTTCAGCGACTCATCCATTGCAATTGAAAAATGACGAAACATCCTTGCATTGTTCGCTATTTGAGTCACAATGTTTTCACCATTGCACCCAAAGCTACACTTTTAAATTGTTTTGAATTTCCTGGGCAAAGTTTCACAGCCACTTCAAACAAACATTTTTTACCGACAAAAAGATCTCCGCGAGGCGGATGAGAGGGCCTTAGTTTGGAGACCCTGTGATAGTTGAATACCTGGCCATCGGAAGTGAATTTGTAAATTAAGAATGAGATCATTTGGTCAAAACTAACATATACAACGTTCAAACACATCTGTAACTTCGACCATGGCGATATAACAAAAGAATGAAAATTTAAGAATTTACTGTGACTATAAAATACTGAATATAAAAAAAGACGCAGAACCATTACGGGAAACCAGAGAACTGTTTGAAGAGATAGGCAATTCAACAACTTTCACTCATTTGGACACAGATGTTTCTGGCAAAAATAGATGGAGGAAGAATCTAAACAATGTAAGGCGTTTACAACTGAAGAAGGCGTATTTGGGTGGAATGTGATGCCTTTTGGCCTAGTAAAGTCAACAGCAACCTTCTCGAGATTTATGAGGACGATGCTGGCGAATGTAAAAAATGCTGTGCATTTTGCAGATGATACATGTATTCATACTAAACACATCAATACACATTTACACATGGCGCAACTATTGCACCTAAAAATTTGAAATTAGCTAATGAAGAAATGGGTTTCCTGGGATTCAAATTAGGCAAAGGTCAGATTTGACCTACTGAATTGAACAAGGATAAAATTCTTAATATGCAGATCCCTAAGACAAAGAAAGAAGTCGAAGGTTTAACACGAGATAACACTGACTGCACATAACTTTGTCAAAACATTAACACTCGTAACAGATGCTTCAAATTTGGGACAAGGAGCATGTTTAATGCAGAGAATAGACAACGTAGTTTTATCTAACTAGGTCACTGAATAAAACAGAGAAACTCTTCCGTGGAAAAAGAATGTCTTGCCAATGTGTGGTCAATGACCTAACTAGAGAAATACTTATTAGGGCGGAAATTTATTTTTATCACAGATCACAAACCATTGATTGCCCTAAACAAAAAAAAGGATAGTTAACAACAAACTCAGTTGGTGTGTTATAACTGAATTGGGATGTAATTTTCAGGAAACATGTAACGAGATACCCTTCTGTATTCATGGGTAAGCTAGGGTATGGACCTCAGGCTGAGTGGTGAGGGCTAGAGACATGGGACAGTTAAATGTTAGCCTTTGAAGGATGTAGACGTAATTTGTGCTGTAAGGTGTGGTAGAGCTAGTCGCTATGGCTGACCGCTATTGATGACCAAGTTTCTCTTATGTTTTAGACAAGACAAAAAACTATCATGGAGTGTTTAGTATTAACCATACATTATATCCTTATAATCTGTCCGTAGATTTATTATTTGTTATAATATTAAGTACAGAAGGGTAGCGACCCATCCTGGCTCCCTGGTCGAACTTTCAATTTGGCGCCCCATATATATATATATATATATATATATATATATATATATATATATATATATATATATATATATATATATATATATATATATATATATATATATATATATATATATATATATATATATATATATATATCCCATTTTTTACCACAGAGTATCGCACTCACTGTAACGAAAGTATGTACCTTAGCGTCAAATCACACTCTGTCGTGGCGCTGGCGGACGCGCCTGATTAAATTTAGTGAACCTCTATAATACACTTAGCGCGGATAGATAGCAGTAAACATAGAGGACATTTAGGAGTGGCTTCTAAACTGTTATTGATTAAAAATAATATTAATAAACAGAACGTTCAGTGTATAAAATAAAAAGGCAATATTTAAAATATCCATGTTTTACCTACCACATTGCACTTTATCAATCCATGCTTATTAAATAATTATATTTTTTCAACACCAAAACAACTAAAAAGTATCCCCCCCCCAATGTTATGTTGTTTTAAAAAAAAAGAATTGTTTTTTCATCTATCAAGGAAAGTAATTGGTACTAAATGAACAAAGGGAAGTAATTTGTACGCTTTAAAAAATTTTTTTTGAAGGATAATACATTTTCTATGATTTTGTTTATGCTATAGGAAGTTAATTTGGAAAATGAAATTTTTGTTTTACAAAAACATACATATTAATTATTTTTATTATTAATTTAGAACCCCCCCCCCCTTCCCTCTTCAACTCCAGGTAGAACATTTTTATTGTGCATTTTTCCCAAAAAAAGCCACTTGTGTTTTAAAAATTGTACTGTAGATCTGCATTAATAACAAAAACGATAAATCGAAGGTTTTACTCTTAATTGGACATTCATACAAGTATTCATTGAAATTACAAACCAAAATATCAGGACACGTTGTAATAGTAATGAACTGCTATAATCAACTTCATTAAGTGGGGCATAATTTTGGATACATTGTCTATAATTGTGCCATCATTAAATTCACTCAAAATGTCGGTTTCTATTTATATAAGCATGAAAGCTTTAATGTTTTGAAGATAATGAGCTCCGTAAGTGATTCTTAAAGTTTTTCATTTTAGAGTATGATCTCTCACAAGCTACAAGTGTTTCTTCCAGGAATCTCTTCGATGCAGATGCGCCCCCCCCCCCCTCCCCGAAGAAAGTCTACCAACCCCCACTTCACGAACGAAATGGAATTTGCATAGAAAACATATACTTTTACCAGTGTCCGCCCCCCCCCCCCCTACGAAATTTAGTCCCCGTCCCCACCGCCCCCCCCCCTTAAAATATCAAGTATTTCACCCCCCCCCCCGGTGAAAAAAGGTCTGAAAGAGACACTTCAAACTATATAGGAAGACTATAAAGTCAGTAAGAATTTAATATTTTTTTGCAAGATACGCATTTTGTAAGTTCGTCAAACTAATCCACAACTTGGCCCTCTTATAGAAATAATGTGGTGAATCTTTATTAAACCAATTCTCTACTGAATCATTTAACATTTGTTTTCATTATAGTATATTCCAACAACACCGTATATTTATATGTGCTTTTGTTTCCCCATACTCGACTATCTTTCGGCGCTGTGTATTAATTGTTTTGATGTTGATAAAAATAAGTTTTATTTAGAATAAATGATCATAGCACGCTTTTATTTAATAAGGAGATCAATGTAGAAAGTGTGCTCACTAATTGTTTTTATTAGAATTAACAATGACATATTGCATGACAGTAGGCGTCAGTGATGTTATTTTGGCGTTAGACTTAAATATAGTGTGTATGTAGTGTGCACAAAATTACTTTGTCTATATATTGATTTCAATTATGATTATTATACATGTGGAATTGAGAGAAGCTTCTTCGGTTTTTAATGTCCGTCATTGTATTGAACTCTGCTATATTTGTAATATTTCTAAATCACGTTAAACTATTTTACAACTAATTTGTATTTAAACGGTATGCTTTTATGTTGTAAGTTGTTCTTAATGCCAGTTTGTTCCTGTTTTCTTCATACCGTCGATGTATACTAATTGCGTCTTACCGTGGTTGTGTTTAAATTTCGAGTTTTACTCATTTAAACCTGTTCTCTTCTTTCTGTCTTTTGATACTATGCCTGGATGATTTATAGTGTGTTAAATGTCATATATTTAAACTTGTGATTTGGAAATCTTACATGTGTCTTCAAACCTTCTCAACCCCTTCCCGTCGTCTAGTCTAACGCTTGGTGCCTCGCTCAAGCCCATCCATATTAAATTGTTACGTTTATGTATGACCTCAAAAAAAAAAAACTTCTAATAAAGCAATTGGATAATATAGATTTTTTAAAAAGTGAAGCAATACTTTATGCAACAAAAATGTACCCATTAAGGCACAGCTGCAAAACGTTGTTTTATTGAGGAAAGAATAGACAATAAACTATTTAACTGTAATTGTGTATATTTTCTCTATTGTAACTGTCAGTCATTCAGATGCTGTTTTGTGTAGTTATAAAAATGAACATACAAAAACTCCATACTAATTAAAAGAATTAATTTCAAAAATTAGAAATAGGTTACTTTAAAATCTTCAGTTACAGAACAGAGACCCTTCACACTTTAAGAAGAGCAGTGGAGTGAATAGATTTGTCTCATAAAAATAGGTCTGTTACACCAACTTAAAGCTATAACTGTATTTAAAACATCTTCAGATACTTTGTTTACACTTGACGTACTTTCATCTCAACTGAGTCAGCAATAGAACCATCGCTTGATATGCTAGACCAGTATATCCCTGTAGTAATGTCTGTTTTACCCCAGGCACCATTTAAAGCTGAATGTGTACAGGCGTTATACCACCAACCACCTTTACATTCTCCAGCAAAATCTGCGCTGGATCGATCATTGTCCCTGTCGATGGTAGAAAACTTCATACCATGATGATAATTTAGTTGGTCTCTAACGTTTCCACTGAATGACGACATGTATATTTTATACGACGCTGCTTCGTTTTCTACCTTGAAATAGTCGTAATGGGCGTAGTACTTTTTACCCCTATGAGTCATGTCGATTCTCAGTTCATTGTATCCCTGTAATGTAGAATAGATATAACATGTTTAACTTTTTAAACACGGCTTTAGCCTGTATGTTCAGATAATGTTTTTCTAAACTCACCATCAAAGTCAGGTTAGAGATCCAGTCATTCCCAAGCCAGAAATCTCCAATCATTGAACCAAATCCATGTTTATAGGCGTTCCAATCTCTCGTAAAATTCACGTCACCCAAAACACGCCTCTAAAATAGTATATTTTGCAAGATATTTATACACTATTTTACCCTAAATAGAGACAGATCTAATCAATACAAGATCAATATTTTAACGTACTAAATTTTCCAACCTGAAAAATGATCCAACCTCCACCGTCAGTTTTTGTGTCGCACAAAGCCAATTTATCTTGACCAAGTCTGACGGTCGTTCGTTCTGGTACGTCAGTTTTGTCGTTCTTTTTGCACTGTTTATAAATAGAAAGATGTTTGTTTTAACACATGACTAGAAACAAAAAAGCGTATCTCCAAAGACTGCCTTAAAATGTATGTTTTATAAATGCATACTGATTTATTTTCTGTCTTTAGTACACGCACATATTGTCGTATTTAATTATTCTAAACAATTTGTATAATGTATGTTGCTTGATTTAATTCTACTTTAAACACTTAACAGTGCTAATTCACATAATATTTATGTCGAAATAAAACATTTACCTGAAGTGAAATCCGTGACAACACAGGATTGACGTTGTAGTTGTTTTTCATCTCTTGTACAGTTGTGTTTAAAGCTTCTATCATGCTGTTTATTTGGTTGTTCCCTGAAATGGCCTCGTTGAGTTTTACGTCTATAGCTCCAAATCTGTCATTCACTGTTTGCATGTGTTCTGTGATGTTATTTATCTTAGCATCAAGCACGTCTATAGCATTAGTAGAGCTGATGTGTTTGTTACTGTTGTTTAACTCTGTAGATGATGGAATCTGAGCCGTGTCGTCACTGTACCCATCTCTACCAGAATGTGACATCTGTAAGGACATTGACACGTCTGCACCTTTAAGTTTTTCTGGATCTTCAAATGATTTCAGAAAATCTGCCATTGTGTCCACAGATTTCACATAGTTCAAAGTTTGAGCTTTCAAATTCATCAACAAAACAGATTTCTTGATTTTCTCTCTTTCATAAGACGTTGTTCTATTCTCTAGCATTCCAGTGTCTCCTGTCTTATTGGTAAAATATACTTGACATTTATACTGGTGTAAATTACATGCTGAAGTATTGGAAAAAGACAAGACCAGTTCTCCGTGATGTTTGGATAGTTTGCCCTCAGATAATATCCCAGATATTTTATAATCGCGAACCTTTGAATCAGATCCTGAAATAGACGCCAACAAAATCTTCCCTTCAGATTCACTGATCCTATAGACTGACATGTTGACAAGAGCTGACATCTGAGTGTCTTCTGTTATGTTTTCTGTACACTGGAGTTGTGCACAAAATAAACTTTTCCCATGCAGTGGCGGAACTAGAAAAAAAAGGCCCCCCCGCAGAATTTTTTTTGGGCCCCTATATATATATATATATATATATATATATATATATATATATATATATATATATATATATATATATATATATATATATATTAAGTTTTCGAAGTGAGAAACACCGACTCTCTAAATCTAGCCCAACACACTAAACTGACGATGATTTATTAAGAGGCTTTTATCAAAACGTTAACAACCGTGTATTTTTTAGACGTGTGCCCTGTTTACCAGAAGTTGAATTAAATATTAACAATTTCGGCAGTTCATTTCTACCAACTAGACACGCCAAGGCATGCTGTAAGTCCCTCGGCGACGGCCCAGGTGTCAGGGGAGTCACGGGGCTTTTGGGAGCTACCGGTTACATTCAGAGTTTCTTTCAGGCATCTCTTCGGGGGGGGGGGGGCGAAGCCCCCCCCCCCCCCCGAAATTTTTTTTACCACCCCCTCCCCCCCGAACGAAATGAAATTTCTATACTTTATATAGAAAATATATACTTTTAACAGCGTCCGCCCCCCCCCCCCCCGAAGAAAGTCTACCGCCCCCTCCCCGAAAATTTCAAGTGCCCCCCCGGAGAAAAAAGTCTGGAAGAAACACTGGTTACATTACTGCACAGGGGATGGGCGCGACATATTGTTTCTTCCGGCAGTCTGGAAGAAACATTGGTGCAACACTTGATTAGATTTAGTCAGCGAGTGTAGTAGCGAGACTTATTCCTAGTGTTGTCGGAACTTTTAAACGACTGGATGTGGGGGCCAACCTGCTCATATGTGATGCGCTCAGGATGACACTGTCGCCGGTGATTTCAAGTAGTAACCTCATCCGCTTATGCAAGCTCTAGGGGCGCTAAATCACATATTTCCGTTGGGCGTCCCCACTCCAATATGTAAACAAATGTTAGCCTATGACAGAAACCTTTGCGTGGCTGTCAGAGTTTCTTCCAGGCATCTCTTCGGGGGGGGCAACGCCCCCCCCCCCCCCGAAAAAATTTTACCGCCCCTCCGAACGAAATGAAATTTATATAATTTATATAGAAAATATATACTTTTAACAGTGTCCGCCCCCCCCCCCCCGAAGAAAGTTTACCGCCCCCCGTAGATTTCAAGTGCCCCCCCCCCCGGAGAAAAAAGTCTGGAAGAAAAACTGGTGGCTGTCCTCAACAGCTTCCAGAGTTTTCATGGCGATTGGGTAAATGATGCAGAAATGCAAAATAGACAGAAACATGTTTTTCACATGTACAACTGTATGTGGCCAGCTCACGCGTCGGATAACTTTCTGATTTAGGGGGGGGGGGGGGGAATCCACAAATGACGTCACATTTTTTAACGACTAACAAAAAGCCAGACCCTCACACCCCCCCCACCTCAATAACGTCATTTATAAATAGTAATTGACTATTAATTATATAATAATGTTCAATTAATTCTAAACGTTCTAATTAATTTCTAAATAATTATATAAAAAATAATCTTACCTTCCCTGTTTTGTGAATTAGATGTGCCTAATTAATACTAATAGTATGCAAATAAATCAATATCTGTTGACTAGTGCTGTCTAGTGTCTGACAAAATGTGCTAGAGTGGTGAATCGTACGGTTAGGAAGTAGTTCATAAACGATACATTGATCTACTCGATACTTGCGAGGCTAAAAAAGAGGAATGGGATGGGGGTCGGCTCGGGAAAAATCTTGAAAGAGACAACAAAGCGCCTATGTACCATCGCCCATTGTAAAACTTACTCAGGGGAGATAATTTCAAGTATAGGCCTTAAAAGTTTACTATGATATTTCTTGTAAAAGTAAAAAAAAACAGTAGACGTATATAAAAACGAAGTTTCTAGTATTATATTCTTTTTTATGATTTGTAGGATACAAGATAGTACAGAATACAAATTCAACCACTATCACTAACACATATTAACATTGAAAAATGTTAAATGGATTTCGGCGGGTCCCTAACTAATGCCGAAACGAAGAACCGCGCATCATGAAAGCCACTTCATGTGTAGCGGCTTCTCGTGCTATGGTCTTTGTTGTTTTTTTAAAAAGAATTTTGCCGGCGACAGCGTGGGGAAATAGAACTCGGCCTTGACGATGGTTAAAAAATACAACTATAAATAAAAAGAAATGTTATCCCCATCCCCTGCCCCATCCGCCACAGTACACTTTGGAGGATCGGTCAAACAGTTACGTGTCCTCTATTTAGCTATCAAAGGGGGGCAACGAATCAAATGTGTCATTCAAATTTGAAGCGTTGCCTATATTTTACACTGTATTTTGTGTAATGGATTTTATTTTTTTTGCTGAAGAGCGTGGTATAGTGACTGTAAAATAAAGATAATCGTACCGCAGCTACAGTGTTTTTCTTTTACAAACTAAATATCAAGGCAAAAATGCACGAAAATTAAATTCAAAATTTAAAAAAATACTAATTATGGTCAGCAGTGGGCCCCTAAACGGCCTGCCCCCCCCCACCCGCATTGCGGGGTCTGGGGGCACTGTAGTTCCGCCCCTGTATAGATCTTTTGGTTGTTTTTAGGCTTAAAAGCTAGATCATTGTATCCTAAAAATTTTTAACTTTAATGTATTTAGTGTTAATAACTAATTTTCCATTAACACGTTTACTAATTATAAAACGATTAATAATATAAAGACGAGTCTTACCTTCTTGTTGTGTGAATTAGATTCGTCAACGAAATACTTCATCAGGTAAATGAACAACTACTGACTAGTGTCTTTAACAAAATGTGCAGAAGTGGTCAGTTTACAGTTCAGTAGTTCATAAACGGTTCGTTAATCTATGCATTACATCTTATTGTAAGAGTAAGGGTGTGGTGAGGGGTAGAGGTTAGGGGGATGGGGGGAGGGTAGAGAGTTGGGAAGGTTCAAGGGAAGGGGACAAGAAAGCGCCGATGAACATCTACATCAATAGTGCCGACTTTTTCCGGTCGTCTAGAAGACCAGGATAGTCGCCGCAACATTTCCCCAGCCCGATTTTCAAAGCTTTTTTGTTCTCCTAATCGACACCACTAAAAAAGAACGGTAGGCTGCGTCTTTGAAGTTGTCTATATTTCTGGCGGTCTCTCGAGCAATAGTCTGTGCATTTTTCTCATAGACGTTTGCCGACTATCGTGTTTGTTTGTAACTGTAGAAGAAAGATAACTCGACATCCACCTAATTTTTTTATTTAAATTTAAAAAAAAAATTTTTTTAAATAATTTAGCCAGGATTTTTGGGCCCCCAATCGGTCTGGGCCCCCCCGCATTGCGGGGTCTGGCGGCACTGTAGTTCCGCCCCTGTTCCCATGGTAAAAGTGTTCTCTGGTCATATCCACTTTAAGGCCTAGAAAACAGTAGACAAAATTAATTACGTAATATCTAATGCGTTCAATTAATTAAATATTGTGTACACATCAGAGAGATTATGTGATGTGTACAATTAATTAAATATTGTGTAAACATCAGAGAGATTATGTGATGTGTACAATTAATTAAATATTGTGTAAACATCAGAGAGATTATGTGATGTGTACAATTAATTAAATATTTTGTACACATCAGGGAGATTATGTGATGTGTACAATAAATTAAATATTGTGTACACATCAGAGAGATTATGTGATGTCTTAAAATCTCCAGTCCGGGAACCGTCCTCGCCACTTTCATGTTAGCAGTCGAGCTCGCCACAACCCAATTAAGAAGTTCCTTTATTATTTAAAACACAATAGAAACATTTCTTTGTTAAATATTGTTTAAAATAATTGTACTTTAGTTTAATTATTTTAAAATAAAAACTACAATCTCTAGGTTTCGATAGTCATCCTTAAAGGACGTCACGTTTATGTGTACATCACTCAAGATTTCGGATGTGAAGCTTAGTGAAATAAAACTAAACGCACTATCCTTTCATAGGCTGAAGTCACAGTCATGTCGCTTTGTGATTTTCAAATTTTATAATTTTGTTTTATTAATGCAATTGTATTGCATAAGATCTGAAGTCCTTCTACCTTTGAGTAGTTAGCATAAAACAATTAACTTTAATTAAATTAAATTTCTGAAATGTATTTTTTTTTCAAAATAAAAGATGATTGTAAAGCTTAATTAATAAAGATAAATGAATTCGATCCATACTTCGGATTTTTTTTTTAAGTAGACAATATTATCAGAATAGTAGCCATATTGTTTTGCCATGTCCATTTAAAGGGGAACAACCAAAATAATATTTTCTGGATAATCAACCATACCGATTTGTATCCCTTTACATACGCTTTCTATCTATCGTAATGATAAAACGTGGTGTATGAAGCTGAATTGTCAAATAATTTCAAAATAACGTATTTATGGGCGAGTCATATTAAATGTATTATGTTTATATTGTTATTTTAATATTAAAATTTAAAACAAGTTCTTAAGTAAGGGGTCATCCATAAATGACATCACGCTTTTTTTGACGATTTTTACCTCCCCCCCTCCCCTCCGTCACACGTCGTCACAAAAAGCCAGACCCGCCCCCCCTAAAATGACGTCACACCTCAACCTACAACCCCCCCTCAAAATTGCAGTTGACTTTTTTTTTTAAACATCGATATTTTTCTAAAATCTTGTCTAAACTATTACAATCTATTAAAACAGTTATCTAAAATGCGAAATAACGTCTAAAATTTGTTTTCTAACATTGCTTTTTATAATGCAAAAATGTGACGTCGCAACATCTGAACCCCCCCTCCCCCTCATCACACATATCGTCACAAAATTACGGACCCCCCTCCCCCCTACGAGTGTGACGTCATTTATGGATGACCCCTAAACTAATTTCTGATTCATAATTTTAACATGCAACAAATGCACTATGTCTTACAAAAATGCATTAAAGTAATTAATTAAGAAGAAGGCTAATTAATTAATGTTTTGATCGACTTACAAACTACTGTTCCGTTTTTAAATAATAATATTTTCGACTTTTCATA